AAAAAAAAAAAAAAAAAACACCTTTGCCCTCACCTCCCCGATTGAAACGAACTTTTCCCTGTCAACCTTAAACTCGACGGTAATTTGACCTACCGCCTAACGTTGAACACGGCTTCATAAGCCGAGACCAAGTTCTTTATCATACTCTTTCTCATCTCTCTCCTCAATCTCTTCCTCCTCCGCACCTCCTCCATCTCCGCCACCGGCACCACCTTTTCCCCTCTCTCAATCTCCTCAAGCTCCTTGATCTCCCTCTCGATTCTCTCGAGCTTCTCCACTTCCTTATCGAGCCTCCACAACTCTTCGGCCCTCTTTCGCTCCATCCTATGCATTTCCTTAAGCTCGAGCTTCAACATCTCGTCGCTCACCTCAAACTCTTCGCGCTTCTTCCTCTCGACTCCTTCTCTCTTTTTCCGGTCGAGTTCTTCTCTCCTCTTCATCTTTCCCGCCTTCTTCTCGTTCCACTTCATTTGGCTCTTCTCCTTCAGCTTCTTCTCATCTTCCTCTGCTCAAACAAAGCACAAACGCAATAGTTTCATAAGCTTGCAATTGAATTTTTGTTGAACAGAAAAAATAATAATAAAAATAAATTATTACCCGTTTTTTTCTTCTTCTTCTTGTCTTTTTCCTTTTTGGTGCTCTTGTGGGCCCATCTCACAATACATGGTGAACTCATTTCGGTAATTTTTTTCCAGTGATCTTGGAAAGTAGTGCCCGGCGAGGAGTAGGTGGTTAGGGGCATTATGGGGATGTGAGAAGTGAAGGGGTTGCTGGAATTTTGAGAGGGAAGTTTGGAGTGCCGCCGAGTCGCCGGAGATAAGACGGCGGCGACAAGATGGCGGCCGATCATGTTTTTTATTTCTTTTTTGTTATTTTCTTTTCGTAAAGCAGGGGAAAAGAGGAGAGAAACAGGGGAAAACGGTCTTTGAGAGTTTTGACCGGAAGCCGTGAAAACATTAATCTCTTAAACCCCAAGAAATAGGGTTTTGTATTAGGTTAATCCGTCTAATGAGAATGAGAAGTTGATCAATAAATATATGAGTATTAGTTAATCCGTCTAACTCTATATATAAAGGTTAAATAAATCACAATTTTTTTTAACTGATACAAGAAATTAGCCTTCATTTTTTACCAGTATTATTAGTTCAATTAATCTACTTTGGTCCATTGTTTTACTAATTGACTTATCAAATTATGTGTTGTCAAAATGTGGACTGGTTGTTTGGACAGTTGGTTTTGAACTTTTGATAAATGTTATAATGAAAAGAGTAATGAATGATTAAAATGTGTTATTTTTTACATCTCAATATTTAAGTCAATATATAGCAGTCTATGTGAATTTTTCCCTTGGTAGTGCAAGGTATATTCAATTTTCATCCTATTGTACCNAAAAAGAAAAAAATCATCCTACACACTTGTAGTGTACATACGCTGTTGCATCAAACATGATGAATATCGAATAAATAATTACCTGGATTTATAAATATTGCACAATAATGAATATAATAACATAATATGATTTTGCCTTACAATTATTGAAAAGTGGAATCACTATATTGTAGAAGATGAATAAAAAAAATTTATGTAATAAAAAAAAATCAAATATGTTTATACCTAATTATAAAAAAAGACAATAATGAAGGTTTATTTCAAAATTTTAATACTTCTTTAACAATTACATTAATATTTTTACTCAAAACAACAAATGTCACCCATAAAATTCACTCACAAAAGATATATATAATTATTTGTACAAATATTGTTGTTAGCCCGCCTAATCAATGAACAATCATACTTTATTACAAAAGTTGCATACTTATACTATGAAATATCATGTTTTGTTACTGGTATAAAATATCATATTTTATTTATATAGCATTTCAACGTATGACAATTGAGCGCAAAAGTATGTAGGGTCATTCTACTACATTCTTCGTACATACCTGATAACAAATACGCCTTGAAATTTAGACGTATGTGTTTTTACTTACTTAGATAATATAAAGAAAATATCATTTATTAAACTACAAAATTACCCATACTTAAATACTTTTAGAAAAATAATTATAAGGTGCCCTGACTTTACAGTATTTTCACTTTGGTACCCGAAATTTCACTTCATCATTTTTGGTATCCAACGTTTCGTCCATTAATTACTTTTTGTCCACACCATCAATTTGTTTTCAAACATTCGTCAGACGACCTGCAACCACTGGAAAATAGTAGCAAACAAAAAAATAATTGAAAAAAATTACTCCGAAACTGACATTTAAAATTGAAGGGCCTTATGAACTCAAAACATCAAAGTGATTAATAATTATTGTTACCCATGAAAAGAGGAACAAAATGAGAGCTCAATCGTGAATTTTGGACAAGCGAGGCGCTGAAAATCATCGGTTGAAGTATATGTCCCGTAGTCGCGCAATGTCAAAAATCTAAAAACTTCACAAGCATTTTTTCGGCTATTGGAAGGTCCGATCGACGATCCAAAAACATTGTTGGCAAGTTTCCTTATGAGAGTGTTTTTTATACATATATGTTCCATGAAAGTTAACGATCGGATATCCAGTGATTTCTCGCAAAATTTAATGCCCATTAATTTAATATTTTCAAAACTTTAACATTGAGTTAAGATATTATAAGGTATCGTATGATGAAATTAAATATGTCGTCGGAGAGATTGAGTCGGGAGATTAAAAAAGATATGATTTATTAAAATCCCTCAATAGTAGGCGAGGGACGGTAGCGGACGGAGGTAGAGAGATGGTCAAATCTTAACTCCATTACTTTTGATTTAATATCCTTTATTTTTTAATTATTTTTATCTTTATATACATGCGCTTCAAATTAAATATAATATTATATTTTTATAATTTTAAAATTGTTATAATTTAATTAAAGTTATGGTATGATAGGTACTTGACATGTATGAAGTGTAAATGCATTTAATAAGTACATTCGATGTACCCTAAAAGATTCAAAATATATGTATTTGTTGGAAGGCTAACTATCATACAATTACAGTATAACAGAAGACCAACTTAAATATTTTTATAATATATATCCAATAATGGTGTAAAATTCGCTCGATAAATCTAATTATTTATTTTTATTTAGCGTAGGTGTTAAATTGAATATCATTAAAAAATATTTAAAAAAAGGTAATTTGTTACGATATATATAAATTATAAAGATAATTGGATAAAGATTAATTTGTACCATTAAATATAAAAGTTTATAATAAATAAAAGAATTCTTAAAATTTATCAAATGTATTATAAATTTTATTTTTTAATAAAAATACATAAAATTGTCTACACCTGCAGAAGTATCCCAAACAAACCCATGGGATTATGAGAGCGTTCACAATGTTTTGGGTTTTTTCAAAAAAATGCTTTGCGTTCTTTCGAAAAATTCTATAGGCCATATAGAAAATAGACTCAATCTGAAAAAATATATACTCCAATGCAAATGCAATTAGATTGCGTTCTGCTGATGTGGCAGTAAAAAAATAAAACCCGGTCTACCTTTGATTCTATTTTAGAGCACCCACAATGCATTGAGTCTAATTTTACATATGTTGCATATAAATAGACTTAAGTCCTAGATAACATGAACAAACCCAAGTAAAAACTCAAAAGTTATTCAATGCAAAAATAAAATACTAGGTCTAGGCTTCTAGCATACATACCAACCAATAAAAATGCTCTAATATGTTTCATTTATTAAAAGAAAATTAAATTAAGAATAAATGAAGAGTGTTTGAGTTTGTACTTGGGTCCAAAATAGACCCAAGTGTGGACTTGGTTTCTTTTTTTTATTGCCACATAAGCTAGACCATGTCCACTATTAATTGCATTAGGAGACATTTTATAATAGACTATGTCTATTTCCTATGTGGCATATGATATTTTATTAAGAGACTCAATGCATTGTGGGTGCTCTTAGACCCAAGTAGATACCTAGTCTCTTTGCGTTGGAGTTAATTTCTTTTTTTTTTTCCCAAAACGATAGATTATATTATAAATCAAAATGAACAAACGTGCGAATCCACAACAGCCAACGACTGAATACTCAGCAGCCAACAGCTGAAAGAAGTGGGAGGACAGGTCAGAAGACCACCTAGAGTCCCGACTAGCAACGCTAGAATAAAACTCGCAACTAAAACTAACCAACTAAAACAACTAACAACAACTAAACAGACCCCAACAGAGTAATACCCGAGTGTCGAATCCCAATGGGATAATAAGGTGACACTCGGGTTCACAGAGGTCAAACGGCCCAGACCAAAACCACAATCCTAAATTACACAAAAACACAAACACAGAAGAACAATCCTAAAATAAAACCTAATAAAAAACACACAAAGCCCTTTCCCGGGATAACCATACCCAACCGGCGAAATCAGGACCAATCACCCAATAGCATGACCCGAAAGTTGGAACACCACTCCTGCCACTGCCTAATGCCTAGCAAGGACGAGTCCCAAGCCTCGAAACACTCCAAGGATGAAGGCGACCCACGTCCCAGAGAGGATTAATTATTTTTTTATATTTTTATCCATGTCATTCAAGACTTAAGTCTATTTAAATGACACTTAGCTAAAGTGGTGTATTCAATTAAAACTTATAGAGACCTTTTTAGACTTTCAGAATTCTAGTGTATTCAATCAGAACTTTTAGAGACTTCTGAAAAGTTTACATGTATTCAATTGAAACTTTTAAAAACTTTTAAAAAGTCCTTAAAAGTCTCAGGATATTCAATTAAAACTTTTTGAGAGTCTCTATAAGTCACCCTTTATTCAAAATGTGAAGACTTTGTGAGACTTTTTAAATTGTGAGACTTTTAGAGACTTTTCTAACAAAATTATAAAGAGAAAGTTTCAACAGAAATCTCATCAACATTGGTGAGATTTTGCTGGACTTATGTGACACTCTTCACGCTTCTTTTCTTTTTTCTTTCTAACATGACTTTGTATCTCATGTCACTTTCATGCTTTATTATTATACTCATTTATTTTTATACATTGTATAATTTTTATTTTCATTACGTATATTTAACGTAATCTTTATTTTATATATATTTTTTATTATGGTTAGTTTATGTATGTATACCTTTAATCTTTCATTTTGTTATCTTGTGAATTTAATTTTTCAAAGGTTAAATGCTTCCATAGTTTGCGCTTGCAAATAATTTATTTGTTCTCTCTTTTTATTTGTCAATGTTTATTTTGTAATATCAATAAAATTATTTATTTTATAATAGTTTATTTGTTGATATTGAATTATTTTGAATATTATTGATAACTTTATAAAATACAATTACTGTTTTTCGACAATATTTGTATCTTCTATAGTTCGACTCATTGAAGCTCAAATTGATTTGCTCGTTTAATAAATCTAAAATCCTAAACAATTTGTTACTGAATAACTCATTTCGCATAACAATGAGTTGATTCATAAATTTTTAGAAAATTAATATATAAAATATTTTTTTCATTTATTCTTCTTGATATTAATTATTATGTTATGTTTATTAATTTTTCATTCAAACATAATATTATAACCACAAGTATATAAAAGTCTCAATAAGTTTTAAAAAGTCAATTATGAAAGTCTTAAAAAGTCACCAATGAGAATTCTCTGAAAGTCTCGACAAGTCCATTCTATGAAAGTCTCAACAAGTCCACCAAAATTATGAAAGTTTTACAAAATACACAAAAGTCACCAAATTTAAAAAATTTTAAAAAATCCTTAAAAATCTCAATACAACCTTAGCATTGTACATGAAATCCCAAGTCTATTAGGATTAGGGAGTGAGCCATTATTTCCAACTCAAATTTCACTCCAGATTTTTTCAGTGCATCATTGCAACCTTGAAGTTCGTTACCATCATCACCGGCAAACTGTAAAAATCTCGACTTCGCGGAATTTAATGTACTGATTGATCTACACACGCTTCAAAACCCTAAAATATCGAAGCAAAATTCGATTTTCCTGCAAACTAACCAACCATCTACCCAAACCATGGCAACGCCGAAACCCTCGACGAGGACGCCGGCGGAAATAGAGGACATCATCCTCCGGAAGATATTCCTTGTCTCCCTCATCGACTCCATGGAGAACGACTCTCGAATCGCCTACCTCGAGATGACGGCCGCCGAGATTCTGAGCGAGGGCAGGGATTTGCGGCTTTCCCGCGACTTGATGGAGAGAGTAGTGATCGATCGCCTCTCCGGCGAATTCCCGGCGGCCGAGCCGCCGTTCCAGTACCTGCTCAATTCGTACCGCCGCGCGCACGAAGAAGGGAGGAAAATCGCGTCCATGAAGGATAAGGGCGTTAGATCGGAGATGGAAATTGTGGTGAGGCAAGCTAAGAAATTGGCGGTTTCGTACTGCAGGATTCACTTGGGGAATCCCGATATGTTCCCCGATGGCGAGAAGAACAAGTCGAGCGTGTCCCCTTTGCTGCCGTTGCTGTTTTCCGAGGTCGGCGGTAGCAGTCTCGACGGATTTGGAGGGAGCAGTAGTAGTGGGGTTTCTGCTCCTCCTGGTTTTCTAGAGGAGTTTTTCAGGGATGCCGATTATGAGTCGATCGAGCCAGTTTTGAAGCAGCTGTACGAGGATCTGAGAGGGAGTTTGCTAAAGGTTTCGGCTTTGGGGAACTTTCAGCAGCCGTTGAGGGCGTTATTGTTTCTGGTGAATTTTCCGGTGGGGGCAAAGGCGTTGGTGAATCACCCCTGGTGGATTCCGAGGAGCTTTTTTTTGACCGGGAGGGCGATGGAGATGACCAGCATATTGGGGCAGTTTTTTCATGTCAGTGCATTGCCTGATCATGATACATTCAAGTGTGAGCCTGATATTGGGTGAGTGGGTGCATTTTGTTTCCTTCTTGTACATTACCTTGTTGTTATGTTTTCTCAAGATTGATTCTTGAAATGGTTTATGATTTTATGAATCTGTCTTTTTGTAATTGACTTGAGAAGTGAAAATGTGATTGTATTATTAATGAATGGTTGTCTCTTGTACTGCTAGCCAACAATGCTTCTCTGAAGCTTCAACCCGCCGCCCGGCTGATCTACTGTCATCCTTTACAACTATCAAAACTGTTATGAACAACTTGTATGATGGGTTGGCAGAAGTTCTTATGTGCCTTCTTAAAAACACAAACACTCGGGAAAATGTTCTTGAGTACCTTTCAGAGGTCATCAACAGAAACGCTTCTAGGGCACATTTGCAGGTATGCTTTTGCTGTTTTTCCCTCTCTCTAATGATGGGATGGGACAATTTGGCTCCATCCACTCTCATGATATTAGAGTTGACATCTTTTCCAATGTTCTATCCAACTTTAATATTTTATTAAATTGAATTTTTGCCACAGGTTGATCTCTTATCTTGTGCTAGTTCTGGCATGTTTGTAAACCTCAGTGCTGTAATGCTTCGCCTCTGTGAGCCATTTTTAGATGCAAGTCTGTCGAAAAGGGATAAAATTGATCCTAAATATGTGTTTTACGGTGACCGTCTGGAGATGAGGTAAAGGAATATTGTTTATACATTGTTAAACCTATTCTAGGTTGTTACTGAAAGTTTACTTTTCTGGTGGTGAACTTGTACCAGAGGATTGACTGCTTTGCATGCATCATCAGAAGAAATGTTTGAGTGGTTTGGCGGTAATACTGCAAAAGTTGATGCCTTGACTAATACTGGTGATTCTCACAACCGGTTGCTCCAATCACTAGGAGCTACTAGTTCTGGCAGTAGTACAAATGAACTTTCTGTCCTCCAAAGTAATCAAGTATCCAAAAGTAGTGGAAAAACCAAATATCCTTTCATATGTGAATGTTTCTTCATGACCGCTAGGGTACTCAACTTGGGGTTGCTAAAAGCATTTTCGGACTTCAAGCACCTTGTTCAGGTTTTTCAAATTTTACTTCAACTAAGCAAGAACTTTATTTTGGTTTTGATTCCTTTCTTTTTCATTAATTTTCTTTTGAGATCGACATCTATGATCAAATTTGGTTATGCTTTTTTGTTAGCTGATGTTATAATTTGGATTTTATACTTTGTATTCAGGATATTTCTAGATCTGAAGATACTTTATCCTCTTTCAAAGCAATGTACGAGCAATCACCTTCTCCACAACTGCAGCAAGATATCACCCGCCTTGAAAAAGAAATTGAGTTGTACTCGCAAGAAAAACTATGCTATGAAGCTCAAATATTAAGGGTATATAAGTTTGTCTCATAATTGGTATATTTTTGGTTTGCCTTTTTCTATATCATGCCTGTTACTAATTTCTTCATACAAAAAACATGGAAAAAAAAAAAGAAAGAAAAATCACTTTATACATGTGGACCTGTAGGATGGTGGAATTCTACAGCGTGCATTGTCTTACTATCGCCTAATGGTAGTTTGGTTGGTTGGGCTAGTTGGCGGGTTTAAAATGCCACTACCGCCGGCATGCCCAAAGGAGTTTGCTTCTATGCCGGAACATTTCATTGAAGATGCCATGGAGTTGCTAATTTTTGCCTCGCGAATTCCTAGAGCTTTAGACGGAGTCATGCTGGTACATCAAAGAGTCGATTTTCATTCAGTTTTTATCATAATCTTTATTCTTGCATTCCTGATTTGTTGTTCATTTCGTCCCTTGATAGGATGATTTTATGAACTTCATCATTATGTTCATGGCTAGTCCAGAATACATTCGAAATCCATATCTAAGAGCTAAAATGGTTGAAGTCCTCAATTGTTGGATGCCTAGGAGAAGGTATATCTTGATGAATTTCATTGTGGTATGTAGTGCAATTGTTTATTTTCTTCATCCTTCAGTTAATTATTTGATTGTTCTATATAGTGGCTCAAAGGCAACAGAGACTTTGTTTGAAGGGCATCAATTATCCCTCGAATATCTAGTCAGGAATCTTCTGAAACTTTATGTTGATATTGAATTCACTGGATCACACACGCAGGTGATTGTCAATAAGAGTATTTATTTATCTGTATGGAGCAGCAAATTTATTTCAGACACTTGTTTTAGATTTTTGTTTGAACTAGTATTGTTCCTGCCATAGATCTGTCTAATGTAGATAATAGTATTTCTTATGGACCTCTTTCTATTATTGTCTCGCTTGGTGATTATATATAAATATGGAAATGATTTCGAGTTCCAAATAATTGTTTTCTGCTGTGTACCATCCGGAAAAGTGCAACTACCATTTTTTGAGTAGATGCAAATTAAGAGAACATGTAGGTTTAAGACTTCTGAACTCCATATCTTATGATTAGGCTTGCATCTAGATAGATTATGTTGGTATGATAATCTCAGTTCCAGTTTCTGTTATTCTCTGAGAGATGGTCCAATATGGTGTAATATAATCTTTACTTAATTGGGTATTCACTATTTCACTAATATGATGACAGAACCCTGAATGTCTATACCTGAACACTTTGCGGAAGTAAATATGCAGTCTGAATTTGTCCCTTCTCATCAACATATCTTTCACTTATCTCAGTTATTTCCTGTCATGTATGTTCTATTAATTTGGGTTATATATGGCTACCTTTTTCCAGTTCTATGACAAGTTTAACATCCGTCACAATATTGCGGAACTCTTGGAGTACTTATGGCAGGTTCCTAGTCATCGCAATGTTTGGAGAAGGGTAAAGCTAATTTTAGTCTACTTTTTTCTTTTTTTCATTATTATCTTTTCCTGGCCAGGCCTGCCTTTTTCCTGATGAAATGACTTTTCTATTAATGCCATTTCCCACACCAGATTGCCAAGGAAGAGGAAAAGGGCGTCTACTTGAACTTCTTGAACTTTTTGATTAATGATAGTATTTATCTGTTGGACGAAAGTCTAAACAAGATTCTTGAACATAAAGAATTAGAATCTGAGATGTCTAATACTGTGGAGTGGGAAAGAAGGCCTGCCCAAGAGAGGCAGGAGAGAACTCGGCTTTTCCACTCTCAGGAGAATGTCCGTATTTTATCTCTCTCTCTCTCTCCCTCCCTCCCTCCCTCTCCCTCCCTCTCTCTCTCTCTCCTGTCAATCATTGTCGTGAGTGCCGATTGAAAAGGTGGTTCATTTTGTTTTTATGTAGATTATTAGGATTGATATGAAATTGGCCAATGAAGATGTGAGCATGCTGGCATTTACTTCCGAACAGATCACGTCTCCTTTCCTGCTGCCAGAGATGGTACTTATAGTCTTATGTGTTACGGGTCAGCTCGTTACTGTGTATGTTATAATTGAGTTTTGCTGTCATGACTCTTGCTCTTCAGGTTGAAAGAGTTGCCAGTATGCTGAATTATTTCCTATTACAACTCGTGGGTCCTCAACGAAAATCCCTCACCTTGAAAGACCCTGAAAAATACGAGTTTCGCCCCAAACTGTTGCTAAAGCAGGTATAGACTTGTATTAATTTTTGTTGGTGAATAGTTAGTTATATGCTTCTGTATACTACTTTTTTTTATCAGAAAATAATTTGATCAATTTTTTATATGCTTCTATTTTTATGTATCTGAAGATTGTTAATATATACGTCAACCTCGCCCGAGGAGACAAGGATAACATTTTCGCCTCAGCTATCATAAGGGATGGCCGATCATACAACGAACATGTAAATTTCTACACATTCTTTGGCTTTTATGTATATTTTCTTTTCTTTATCTAATTTAATTCCATTTGTGTGTGTGTGTGTGTGTGTGTTTTCGCAGCTATTTGATGCAGCAGCCGATGTTTTGAGGAGAATTGGGGAAGATGTTAGAATTATACACGAATTTGTTGAGCTCGGGAGAAAAGCTAAAGTTGCTGCCTCGGAAGCTATGGATGCCGAAGCTGTTCTTGGTGACATACCGGATGAATTCCTCGACCCCATTCAGGTAAATATCGATGTCCATTATTTTAATTTTATTATTTTTTTTTCTTTTTAATTAACTATGTTTTTCGGATTCCAGTACACATTAATGAGGGATCCTGTCATTTTGCCTTCTTCCAAAGTCATTGTGGATCGACCCATCATACAGAGGCATCTTTTGAGTGACAGCGTACGAATATCTCACATTTTCGAATTGTTTCGAACTTTTCCTCATGATTCTTTTTTTTTTTTTAAATATTTTGGAATTTACAGACAGATCCATTCAATCGGTCGCATCTTACTGTGGATATGTTGATACCGGACGTAGAATTGAAGGCGAGAATAGAAGAATTTATTAAATCACAAGGGTTGAAAAAGCATGGTAATGAAAACATGAGCATGCAGCAGGATAAAGCCACCATTCAGACAATAGATACAACTTCTTTGATTGATTGATTAGCTCAGATATTTATGGTGACATAATCTCTGTATAAATTCGCTTGTCATAGGTAAAATGTTATATTTACATAACCTTTATGCTTTTTACCTGGAATCTTTTGTCTGGGATGCTGTTCTGTGTACTATTCTAGTTCATTTGGAAACTTGTTTAAGAAAATATTTGAAAATTCAACTGAACAATATTTCTAATATTTGATTCCTTGTCTCTCTTCTTCATACATTCATTCTTATTTTCATCATGAATGAGAAATCAAGACTTTTGACATTCAAGGATTTTTTTTTTCTTTTTTTTTTTTTTCTAGTAATGNAATCTCACAGAAGGGGTTACGAACGATGACTGCTATTCTTTTTCCCCGAATGTGATGGGATTTCCTTTTTGGCCGAGGCTCTCATAGCAAGGCTAGACTTGAAATCGACATCCCAAACATATTAAAATGTGACAGTTTCCAAATTGGTAACACGCATTCTCTGGTCGATTTTCAAAGGCAAACATGGATTTTGCTGTGCTTTTACGGGTTTTTAAGTTGCTGTGGCTAACTTCCTCTTGGAAAATTCATCGGCAATCCTTATGGCGTTTAAGTTGTGGCGGAGATAAAACTCTGCCAAGAGAATCTGGCGCTCGGGTTCGGTTAGATCCCCATGACAACCCTAAAGCAAAAAAATAAGTAAAGCAATTAACACACAAGAATTAAGAAAAGAAAAAAGAGGTTAAACTCTTATGATGATTTGAGTTATCAAGAAACCAATCGAAAGTATATAAAATCGTAACATTGTTCATCACATAACCGATTACCAGAACTGAAGCTGCTAAATNCAAAAAAAAAAAAAAAAAAAGAAAGAAAAAAGGTTATTTACCATGCGCGAAGTCCTGTCACACACAGCTTGGTGCATAACAAGGCCTGCAGCTACTGAAACATTAAACGAGTCAACCATTCCTCTCATTGGTATATTACAATGCAAATCCGAAAGCTTAAGAGCATCCTCACTTATTCCCCTGATAAAATTGATTAACTCCACCAATGTAAGTATACCAAATGATATGTGCCTAAACTGAGAATAGCATTACCTAAGTTCATTCCCAACTACAATTGCAGTAGGGCATGACCAGTCAACGTTGTAAACCGAGACCTGGGAAAATCACCAATCATTCTAATACTTTTTAGCTGCAAAAGTTTGAAGAGCTTCAAAATAGGAAAGGACTATGAATAAAGGATGAAAAAGATTCGTACTGCATTTGTCCCCAGATGGGTCGTAGCAATTCTATAGCCGCGTGCTTTCAGATTCTCGAAGCACTCTTTGACAGAAGACCAAATTTCGATATCCAACCACTTCTCGGCTCCCATGCTGACATGGCGATTGTCTTTGTACCTGCAATGGCGAAGAGGTCAAAATGTTGCACTTGCAAATCAACTCTAGCAATATCAGAAAAGTACTTGCTTTGCCCCAAACATAACTGTAGTTACACAAGAATACATACTCGACAGATACTAAAGGTGTAAACTTTCTTGTTCATTTATCATTATAAGATGTGATGGCTAAATCCCAGCAGAACTCAAGGCAGAGTATTAAACCTAAATGTTTCAACTGATATTCCATACACTTTCTGCCCAAGTCATTCAAATGTCCAAGAACACATCCTCGACAGGTACTAAAGGCGTAAACTTTCTTGTTCGTTTTATCATTATAAGATGTGATGGCTAAATTCCAGCAGAACTCAAGACAGAATATAAAATCTAAATGTTTCGACTAACTGACATTCCATATACTTTCTGCCCAAGTCATTCAAAATTCAAATATCCAATAATTTTCACTACAGCTGTTACTCATATGAAGGGCTCAGTAAATTATCCAAAAGAAAATTTTCACCTTCTTGAGCTGTCACACGACACGACATGAACAGACTGTATCCCGAGCGCATCAGCCGACCGGAAAGCAGCCGAAACATTACCGAAATCACTTAAACCCTCAACCACCAAACACACCGAATAGGTCCGGTTATTCACCACAGTCCTAAACCTTTCCTTTCTCAAGTCCATTAGATACGGGTCGATTGCCTGCAAAACCTCACCGCTGCTCAAATACTCGTTGGTTGCTTTATATCTATCAAAATACGGAAACCAACGGCCCCTCTTCTTCGACTCGCTGCCCTGACTCGAAATGCGCTCCATTTTCATCAGTCTCGAGATGTCGTCCCTGTCTTTCGAAAGCAGCTCTTGCACGGTGTCTTTTTTTGAATCTTGAGGTGCGTTTTCCTCTGTGCTATCCGGAATTTCTAATGGAACAACTGCATTTGCAGAGCTGAAGCTTCTCGAAATGGAAAATGGCTTGTGGGATTTGAATTTTCGACCTGTTTATCAGAGAAAAAAAAAAGCAAAATAAATAACGAAAAAGAAAAAACTGGTTAATCAGTTGAGAGAGCTAATACTGACAGATTTAAATTGAAATGCACCTGAAGAAATTGGAGAAGAAGATGAAAAGCTGCGTAGGGCAGCTGAATCTCGGCTTCGAGCTCGGAATTCCAGGCATGATAAGGGAGTGCGGATTAGGGTTTTGCAAGCGTTCATTTTGCAGATTGGAATTGGGAGAGGTGACTGGAAGCTCCTAACGACGTCGTAGCAAGGATGAATGTGCTGCGGACCTTTTAATAATTTGATTATTGGATATACAAATACTATATACTAGCAGGTGTGTGACTAACAATAATAATAATAATAATATGTGCTGGGGATCTTTTAATAATTTCATTATTGGATATACAAATATATACTAGCGGTTGTGTGACTAACAATAATAATAATAATAATAATAAGTTAATAACAACTAATTTTCGACTCAGTGCATTTACACAAATCTATATATTATATATATAATAACAAGCTTTTGAATTAACATAAATCACTTTGCACAAATCTATATCTCTCTTATCTCTCTTATCTATATATGAAAGAGTTAGACATTTTCTATGAGTGACATGTGTCCATTTTTGTGTTCTTGAAAAACTGACATCTGTCCAATTTTATTTACAATTTTGCCACTTCATTTTGTTATTTTGTGGACCGCATGTGGGTTTCTTTTTTTTTTTGCCCATTTCGTGGCTTCCGATACAATTCTTTTTTCATTGGTAAATGTAATTTCACTGCACTTTTGCCAGAATTCTTGGGTCAACACAATTTTTTCTTTCTTTTGGCGGAATTGTCGGACACGCTACGCAAGTTGGATGGAGACGGGAGCAGGTAAAAACCTATCCCTCTTTACAAACCCATTCCAGAGAATTACTCTCATTAACAATTCTCAAAAGGAAGACGATGATGACTTCCAGTCCACCGACTCAGGCACTCAGTCAGCTCCGGCAACGGCTTTATCATGGGCTTCTTCGCCTTCTGCTGCCGGGAATCGAGCCCCAGCGCATCCGACACCTCCTCGGAGCTCCACCCGTATTTTTGGAGTGCATCAGATAACATATCAGCTTTTAGCGTCGGGAATCGAGCCCCACTGCACTTTTTGAAGTTAGAGTAGTTGGACCGGCTGGTGTGCTTGAAGGCAGCCCTGCCGGAGATTGTCTTTTTCCTGTTTTTTGGGTTGTCCCATTTTCCGATCCGGCCTAACTATCTTTTCTCTACCACCTTTTGATACCATCACAGAGAACTTAGGCGCGACAGGTAAATATTCTCTTGAACAAAACCCTAAATTAGTTTGGGCGTTATTTTTTTTTTTTTAAACTTAATAGAGGCGATCGATTTCATTGTTACGGGTTTTAGTGCTTGAGCTGAGGGAAGAGCCATGGCGTTGAGGTGCAAACATGTGCTGATGGGATCTGTTTCAGATTTTAAGTCTGGGGTGAAGCATGGCCTTGGTTGTTACCATTTCAGGTGAGTATTTTTTGTTCATTTTTGTTATTTTGTTTTGGACTTCTATATAATTTTGCTGTTGTGAAAGTTCAATCAAAATTCTTTTACTTGGGTCAGGGTGATTGGAGAACATTGTATAACAGCAAGGATATTTGAGTATAGGTCAGAAGTTCCAATTCTCTATTTTAGCTATTTGTTTTGTTATAAAATTATCTTTCATCTGAACTTGTACCCGGATGTATTGTTTATATTGCTTAAAGCTGGAGCATTTATTGTCAAAGATTAATGTGTCAAAGTGCTTGTGATTATGCCGTTTTCCATGAGAGACAACAATATCCCTTTTTTAGTCTGTTTGAAATTTCTTAAGTTGAAGAGAATCTAGGCATACACATGGCGTAAGTTGATATCTTTTCCTCTTCTGTGGTTGTGGGTAAGAGGTATACATGCATGTATGTTTAGCCAGTTTGTTGAGATTCAGTTAAATCCCCTCTTATTTAAATATCTATCATTACATATTAAGGTTGGTAGCTTAAGATATTCATAGTTTAATTTAGATTTGCCCATGTGTGTTAATTTCTGTAATAATTTTCTTACTCAAGACTATGTATGAATATGTATATTCATATTTAAATAAGACAACAATAGTGGAAAGCGATGGTCGATTTTGTATGAAAAATCCACGAAATCTCTCATCAGATCGGGAATACATATGGAATCGACGGCAAGTTCGTGGTTGTTGACCGACCAGAGAAGGTAGGATTAAACTTGATGATAAGCCTAAGGAAGATCCTAAATTGTACTCCTTGTGGGATGATTGCAGCTCTGGGAAAAGACGGGTTGGCACATATTGCTGCACCAAATCCTAAATTTCCATGCGACTTGCTTATGTAATGACAGTATATTCTTATGTAATTTTACATGTGCTTATCTGTTGCTAATAATATTTTCATTTCATTTAATTTTGAGGACTGTCTTTTTTTTTTTTATGTAAATTAATCTCAGGCCATGAGGAATCTTACAACCCTTCTCCAGAATACATCCCAACAGCAGAAGAAATAAACTCTTACAAGTTCATGTTTGAGGAAGACCGACCTAAGTTTATTCAGAAACAGTACCCACATGTCCTATTTTATCCTTTTATATTTATGATCTTTTTTTTTTTTTTTGGGAATTTGATCCACCTTAGAAGCCTGATTTTGTGATCTGTAATGATTTTAAATTTTGAGGAGCTCAAAGTTGACCCATCTGCTCCAAGATTCTTTAGGTGAAAGTTTATTTTGTTAACAACCAATGTCAAAATTGGAAATGAATTCGATTGATCATTGAAAGTAATGATAATTTTTTACTATATTTTTAGACTAAATTTGAGTCCGCCGTGCGTGCACGGCGTGAGACAACTAGTCTATATATGAAAAAGTGTATGCACTTTAAATGGTGACAAGTGTCCCATTTAGTGGTCTTGAGAAGATGACACTTGTCTCTTTTTATTTACAATTTTGCCACTCGCTTTTTATTTACAATTTTGCCACTCAATATGTAAATGACTAGAATGACCTTAATCTTTTATCCTTTAAAATATTTCTTTTGTTTTTTCGGAATTGTGATGGAAAACGGCGCCGTTTTTGGTCTGAATACATACCATCTTATGAGAGTTGACTGAATTACCCTTGACTTATGCCTTTTGGGGTTCGTCAAGTAATTTCATTTTGCCAGTCGGTGCTGCACCTGGACACGCTACACTCTTGCACATTCTTTCTTTTGGGACCGTCCAAACGAGCGAAAATTCTGCTGAGCCGTGCGATCGTTGATTTGATCTCCGTGAATTGAGCTGCAATCCGCCGAAAGTCTTTCATTCTATGGCATGTAATTCTTGATTTTTAGTGTTGTTTTTCTCATTCACATTTTAGAAAATGTTTCGTTAAAAAGTTTAAAACCTCATCTCCCAAGTCCACTCAATTCTAAATCCAAATTTCAGAAAGGCACGAAATCCGTAGCAGCGTCGGCGAGGTGCAGACGACGGTCGACCAAAGATAGTGCAAAGAGCAGGTGCGACGATGACGGCCAAATGGCAGCGAGACCTGGCGGGGAAGCAAGCCGGCGATAGAGAGGGAGACCCGGCGGTGAGGCGAGCCGTCGACAGAGAGAGAGAGGGAGACCCGACGTCGTTTTCGGCGGCAGCGGCGGCGAATAATACGGGTCCAGATCCACGACGGCAATTCAGAACAGAGGCCATTATCCTCGCAGCCGGACGCCAGTGAGTTACTCGACGATGGACGATCAGCTAGCCGGCGAGCCCATGAATAGTGCTTCGAGATCGGGGGATGGCATTTCAGTGACTATTAGGTTTCGACCTTTAAAGTGAGCTTTTACTTAATTTTTAATATGGTTTTGGTTGATTTTTTGGATCTTTTGAATTAGGGGAGATTGAAGCTAGGGTTGTTAGTACGGGGAGGATTGTGAGGAGTGATATTGATACTGTTTGCATTGTTCTTTTGTGTTGCAGTGACTGGGAATATAATAGAGGAGACAAGATCGCCTGGTATGTGGATGGTGAGAAATTGTGTGAAATGAGGATAATCCGATGACTTCCTATGCATTTGGTAAGCTTCTATCACAAATACTCACCTGTTCTACGGTTTGAGGGAATGTTGTTTTGACACCATTCGTACTTTCGATTTATTGGATGATAGATAAAGTGTTTGGGCATATTACAAATACTGAAGATGCGTGTGAAGTAGTTGCCCGACCTATGGTGAAGATTGTGATGGACGGTATGAATGGCAAGAACGCCTTCATATAGCATCCCTACTTTGTTATTTCCTAAATAATAAATATTCCAGTATATTTTTAGGTGTAGCAGTGGCCAGCGTAGAGATCCTTAGAACAATTATTTGCATTGCTTATTAGATTTCAAAAATTTCAATCACAATTAAATTACTATATGAATTGATGTGCAGGAACTGTATTTGCTTATGGAGTTACCAGCAGTGGAAAGACACATACTATGCACGTAAGTCCATATGTTGGAAGATTTGGTATTTTTTTGTTTTTTTTAGTTGCTGCACAGATGGATTAAATAAAATTATTTGGGTGGTTTATTGTAGAGTTGTTGGGTGGTTGAAAGTGTAGACTTTTAAGTCTAACTTGTCTGTTCCTAATTAGAAGTTTCTTATCAGTATCAGATGCTCAATGAATGATGGAAATGGAAGAAGTGTAGAGAAAACCACTCTTTATGATCTTTATGAGAAGGAAGGGCAGAGCCCATGGTATGATAATTTATGCCGTCCGCTCACTGATCTTATTCCACTGATCGAAAACGGAGTCAGAGGTGTAACTAGCAACCCAGTGGTAAAATTTCCTTCTCCAATAATGAAAAGATGCTAATTATACTTTCTTTAGTAGTTCTTTGCCACTTTCAACAATTTTAAATTTGCATATCGCAGATTTTCCAGGAAGCAATATTGACTTCAAGTGCATATAATGATCAGGTAAAAACATCATATTTGTGTTTTGAAGTGTTTTTTATGCTTCGAAATGCTTTTAGTCATATCAACATCAAGTAGCCTATTAGATGATATGTGTTCTGATCTATATTTATATTTCATTTGAAAGTGATCAAGGAAAAAAAAAATCCCAAGGAGACTGATTGGGTCTACCAATCATGAGACACCTGTCTTAACAAATAATTTATTTGTTAACATGATATGTTTTCCATATGTATAATGTTCTTAATTCTGGTTAGTATATGTACCAATAACTGGGTCTATCCTAATTTTTTTGGTTTCGTCTCAAAATTTCTTTATACTTTTGATCGGAATTAATTACGTCAATTGAACTGCAAGTCTACACTTACCAGATTAATTTGACGATTTTGTACCTGAATTTGGTTGATGGTGTCCAGCGGAGCTGTGGCAATAAGAACATCAATGTGAAGCTGGTTTGTTCGTTGTCCTATTTTCTAATTTTGCATCCCAATCACTATAATTTTGTATATTCTTGTTCTGATTTCAATTTTGCATTTGGATTTTTCATGGGCTTCTTGTTTTTTCGTGAATTTTACCAATTTCTGACCGCAATTATGAAGATCGCATAATTGGTTTTCTAACTTTGTTTTTGACAATAGATTCTGGGTTATAATCAGTTAGACATTCCTTTAAAGTTTTGGTGATTGTTGATCATGCCTAATCTGGTTTGGCTGTGAAGATTACAGAATGTGTTTAGTTTGTGCAGTCATTCATTTTCGAGCATTACTTTCTGTACACTCAGCTCTGCTTGATTGTTTCTGTTTTGTGGGGTATGTGGTGTGCCTTTTTTAAGAATAAAATCTTAAAGTTGTTTTTTTTTTTAGATTATAAATATTCTTCTTTTTGTTTGGTTCTTTGTTCTGCTTATTTGTGAAATTATTTTTCTACACTTAATTCTTTATTTTCCGGACGCCTACTCTTTTATCAGTTCTTGTGTCTGAGCCGTAGATTCTTATTCTGTCGGTTGGTGGTATGGATTCTGAAGGCTCATATGTGTCGAATACAAGCGAGTGGGAAGCTGCAGTTGTTAGGTGGAGATGCAAGAAATGTCGGCTACAATCGCCTGTTGGTTTTGCCACTGAGGAACTGAAATCAAGTCTTGGCGTTGATCGACTGGTTTTTTGAGGTGCTGTCGGAATAGAAAATCGACTGGTTTTTTTGAAAACCTGGTAGTTCAAGGATTTTTTGTCCATACGGGAACATCTCTTTAGGCCCAATAACTTCGTGTTCGGGCAGTCCACAGGTACAAGGGCCACTACACCGAGGGAGCGGAGGTAATCGATGATGTGCTCGACATTCTCATGAAGGAGCAGGAGATTGCCTTCGAGGTTCAAACGTATAGCAGAAACCATGAGTTCTTGAGGTCGCTGCGGATGTTTGTCGAGGCTTACGTGGTGACGAAGACGGCAACCGGCAAATTGGCTCTGGAATTTAGGGAGAAAAATGGATTGAATGTGGTGGTTTTGTTGCCGTCGTGGACCGTCGGGCCCTTCATATGTTCACGCTTCCCCGATTCGATTCGATTCAATTCGATTCGATTTGAGTACTCTTCTCCTATATCTTTGTTGGAATCGAGGAAGGTGCCGAGGTTCAGGGAGAGCTCCTTGGAGTCGCCGGCGACGACCCCCGCCTGAAAAGGGAGGTTGAGGACGTTGAGTGGGACCTTAGCTCGCAGCAATGGCTTCTGCTCGTCGTGGAACTTGATGGAGCCCTTCATGGTTTGATTGGATTATGGATTTATTTCCTTGATATTCTAGATTAGGGTTTTGCGTGTGAGTGATTGTATAGTGTGAGGGAGTGAGGATATTTCAGAGATGAGGGATCAGGAGAAAATTTGTGGCATTCAAATTTTGGCTTATTTGAGGAAGGAATTGCCCATTTTGCACTTGGAGTACATTTAAAAGTTAAAAATTTTTATCAAAATGTACCCGCTATTACAGTCGTTAATTGGTAGGTTCGCTCGGGCCGACTGATCGAATTAGCAAAAATTAAGTTAACTGAAATGAACTCTCAAAAACAAACGAACAAAAATAAATTTAACATTGAACCCACATAACTGAACTTTTAAAATTAAAAAAAAAAAAAATAGATTATCGAATCGACATATAAATAGTTGAACCAAAATTTTTTAGGTCTGTCAATTAGTCGAAATGTACAGTTCGGAAGTCATTAATATGCAATTCATCTAACACTATTTGTGCAATGATTCGGTTGATATTGTGCAATCCGATAGCCATTCATGTTTTTGTGTGTCTTGTGTTTTGCTATTACAAGAAATTATTTTTTTCGGCATTGAATGTGAAATCAAAATTACTCTTTTAGATTTGTATACAAAATATTTAGGACTTTATTTTGTAGAAGGCTTTCCGATCCATGTATAAAAGGTGCCTACTATGATACTTGGTAACGTTCTCTTTTATCATTTGATTTTACCACTCGACAGTATGAAGTACTTGGATATCATTTACATGTCACAGGTCACAGTGGCTGATGTTGGAGAGTTTGAAGCAACCTACAAAGGCTCTGATTCTGAGCCAAAAGATTTGCTTGAGCTGTATAAAAAATTGAAGGGCAACATGGAAAAGTATTTCTTGATGAGAATGTATATCATAATATAAGTAGCACAGCAAGATAGAGAGATATTAAGCCCGTATACTAATTAAAGTATTTACCTTTCAAAACAAAGTATGTATATTTAACTTATGCCAAATTTTTACTTTATTGTCTACTAAACTCGGGCCGGTTGTGCGTGCACAGCCGATAGTCCACTAGTATATATATTATAATAACTAGCTGTCGACCTTCTCCTAGATGGGCCATTGAGTGAAGCCCAAGGTTGACTATTGGACATGCTTTTCTTAGTGTAACTTATGCTTCAAAAGATAAACAAAAACAAAAACAAAATATCAACTTTAAGAAGAAAATCGAAGCCAAAAGGCAGCAAATATGTAAATGCTTAGGGGCGATTGGATACCAATTGGATTATAAAAAAACTGATATTTTACCCAAAATATTGTTGGGCTTGTGATTGGATATCAATTGAGTGTGCACTCTGGGCCCACTTAAAAGAGCCGACATCCACCTCCTTCTGCAGCAAAATTCAATTCTGATTCATCTTTTATTATTTTTTTTGCCCAATTTCGAGGTCTGCAGAAGATTCATTTCCTCCCCCTTCCTTTTTGACCGATTTCTTCACATTTCAAATCGCAATAGCTGTATGATTCCCCATCTTGTCGTCGCCCCACAAAATTTCCTCAATAAAAATTCCTCAACCACCTCTTCTACGTATGGAGCTCTCCCCAAAGAGTTCACTTCTGGCAAAAGAAAGAAATGACGGTGAAGCACGGTTGGATCGCCGCCCTGAAGAAAGTACCGAGAGCACCGGGAGCGTCTCCGTCACATCTCCGAAAAAGAAAAGACTCCGGCCAACAAAGGTACGTTTATGCCCTCTTTTATGCGTCCGAAAAAATTCTGCTTATATATGGTTGTTTAAAACGATTTGGCTTTACAACTGGGCCGCACTTTGAACGAATCATAGCTATTTGGAGCCTGTAGAAAATATTTGGGATTTATGTGGGTTATGAAATTGGGGATCCTATGTGTAGATGGTAGCAGGAGGAACCGATATTGAAATGTTCATTTTTTCCGATTAGGGATATCGTTGGGAACAAAATTGGGGATCCTAGACATTACATTTAATTACATATGTTGGGTAATTTTCAAAGTTCAATTCCAAATGTGTGAAGACTGTTTTGATTTTACCTGTCATTTTTGCATGTGTACAGTGTAGAAGAAATATGCATTTCTTTCATTTTTTCCTAATTTTTATCCCAGCTGTTTTAACATGTGAAGAGTACCATACCACATTGTAGTTGGTTTGTTATTTGTCATGATTGTAGATGTCATATACCGGTGGTATTGGTACTTCAACTAATAATAGTCAAAGAGACGCAAAATGGCCTCCCGAAAATGAAGCCGCATTTGTCGGTGTTTTGTTGGAAGAAGTCCAGTTAGGAAACCATGTAGCCGGTAAGTTCACACCTAATCAATGGACGGCCATTCTTGGGAAGTTGACAGAGAGGTGTCCTATTTACTATCCTTACAAAGTTGCTCAGCTACAGAGTAAGTACCAACGTATGAAAGTGTATTGGAGACGGTTTCACAACATAGTCACCAACGCCACTGGATTGGGATGGAATGAAGATAAAAAAACTATTGAAGGACCCGCTGAATTTTGGGCGCAATGGACAACCGTAAGTATTTTTTCATCGTCGGGCTGACATATACAGACTGTTTCCTATCATATTGCTGTTTTGAGGAGAATTTTGTGCTTGAGTTTAATGCGGCCTATACTTGTATGTTGTTGGAAGGATTAGTTCATGTTTGCGTTTTCTTTAAATTAGAAGTATATTATATTTTACTGACCTGTAATAAGAGTTTTGATAATGCTGCTGTGTTATGCTCCTCGTGTTAAAATTCTTTTTTTAATGTCACGTGCATAGGCAAATCGAAGGGACCATGACATGGAGGGTAAGGTGTGTGTGCATTATGAAGACCTGACTACTATTTTTCACGGCACTACTGCTACGGGGTCAAATGCGAGGGCATCAACCCAACGGGTGGCCGAGGGCCGAAGCTTCGGTGGTCAGCCGTCCGCACATGTGAGCCAGGACTTTGTCGCGGAGGAAGAAGACGAACCGATGGTTACCCCGACATCTCATGCACGGCAAGGTAGGCAGAGGCGGTACGTTCGTCCGAGGAGAGGCACAGAGTCTAGTTTCGACACAGCCATGTATTCATTGTCAGACTTGAATGTGTCCCTTAGAGAAAGAAACAATAGACCCCCAAAGCTAACGACAATGGAACAAGCTATGCGCGACCTTCAAGCAATGCTTGATATGGACGAAGATCTTTTCCAGTTTGTTTGCAAGAAATTGCGAGATCCCACCAATCGAGCAATGTTTGCGGCGATTAATAGTGACGAGAGACGTCGTACTATTATTAAAATGTGGTTGGATGAGGTCCCCGGTGATGAGTGAAGGGGGATGGCGAACTTTTTTATTGCTCTTTATTTGTTGTTGGCCTTGTCTTTTACATATTTACTGTACGAGTGTACTATGTTTAACTTTGTTTCGAAGCTACATTGCCGTCTGCATGCTTATGTTATAATTTGTTTGTGGATATTTGTATTCGTGTATTTATTATACATTTAATTGTAGGATGTCTTAAGTTGACGATAGTGACACGTATGAGGACGATGTCGATGATTTGCCTGAAGACATTGATAGTGATTTGGAGCCGGTGGAAGAGTATGATCCTATGGAGACATCCTTAATGGTGGGCGCTCAATTTCAACAACTTGTAAACAGTTTTGAAAGTTCGTCGTCCGTATTTCCCCCTTTAAGGAGAACCCCCTACCGAGAATCCACTTACACGGGTTTGGACTGGAAATCCTCGTCGCTTTAAAGATGCAATGGGCATAAATCAATGTCATTTTACCATCCTTTGTGATGAAATCAAGAGAGCGGGATTCCACGAAGTAACAAGACAACAAAAAATAGGGATTGAAGAAAGCGTAGCCATTTTTCTTCATATAATAAAAGGTCATCAAAGGCAACGACGTGCGGCTGAGTCATTCAGACACTTGGGGGAGACGATTAGTCGTCATTGTCACAAAGTCATCAATGCTCTATGTTATCTAGCCCCCGACTACATTCGTCCCCCAGACTTCAACCGTGTGGCACCTTGGATAAGAAATAATCGTAACTTATATCCCTACTTTAAGGTAAATATATTTCACTTCATTTGTCCAATACCGTATATTCTATGACTAACATTGTACTGTAAATTTGAAATGGTAATTTCTAATGTTAGGATTGCATTGGCGCCATTGACGACACTATTATACCAGCGTGGGTGCCGGAAGGACAACAAGGTTCTTACAGATGTAGGAAAGGTTATTTGGCGCAAAATGTCATGTTAGTGTGTGACTTTGACTTGAAGTTCACTTTCGTCCTAGCCGGCTGGGAAGGTAGCGCAAATGACGCACGTATTTTTAATCACACTATGTCCGACCCCAGATATGCTTTTTTCTTTCCACCTCCAGGTAATTCCATCATCACACTATTCATATGCTATTAATTAAATAATATTGAAATTTATCAATTTTTTCTTGTGTTCTGGTGGACATTTTAAAATGTAGGTAAATTCTATGTGGTGGACTCCGGATACGCAAATATCCCAGGTTTCATGACACTATATCATGGTGAACGATATCATCTTCCAGAATGGTTGGGGTCTAACCAGTTGCCCGGCAATGCTCGTGAGTTGTTTAACAGACGACATGCCACTGTCCGTAATGTCATAGAACGCAGCTTTGGTTTGCTAAAAGGGAAGTTTCCCATGATAAAGGGGCTGATGCCAAACTACACAGTCCACTCCCAAACCGACATAGTAATAGCATGCTGTGTTCTACACAACTTTATTCGGATTCATGAGCCACTCGAAAACATGCCGCCTGAATTCAGAAACCCAGAATACGTACGCCGACATGATCCTGAAGATCGTACATTTGCTTTTATGTCCAATAATAATAACTCGAACCGCAACGTTGGTGACCAATGTGTCTTGCGTGACACAATAGCGCAAGCCTTGTGGGCGAACCGAAGATAGAACGAACATCGTTTGTATTAATATAACCCGAACGCACCTTTCATTCTATTTAGGACACCCAAATTGATATTCCGGCCTACATTACTATCTTTTATCTTTGATGAATTATGAGTGTTGTTCTTAACCAAAAAAAATTTATAGCGTTTTTTTTTTTTTGTTCTTAATAAAACCAAACACAATAGTACAATATTCACATACTTATATATTAAAACAAATTAAGAATAATACTTGTAAAATTGTTATAAGTAGAAAATTTGATAAAATTAATTATGTAAAACGAAAATAGTGTGGACCGTTACCACTTTATTTGCACCGGAAAATAGAGGCTGTTGTCATTAAAACGAATTTGAGATGGGGTGGTGGTGTATGTTTTTCATTTTGTTTTCTGCTTTACGAAACTCTCTACCCTCTAGCATATACCAATAGAAAGTATTTTAAATTTGGTCTTAAGATTTAAAATCAGAAAACAATAGTTCATGTTATGAATTTAAATCTAATAATTTTGCGTACGTCATATCCAATTTGAAACCAAATAGATGACGCTATGTATGTTTTTACATAATTTTCAATTATCAGCCGCATCTACCTTATAATATGTTGTTATTTTTGTTTATATTATGTAATTATTCCACTTTTATTTGTAGCCTTTTTTTTACCCAGGTGGAGATTAACATAAAAAATAATTATGTATAACCTATTGAAAAATAACGAATAATCAATAGATTTAAAAAAAAAAACGACAAAAAAATATACATGATACAGACATGTAGGGCATATGATCACGGGAGATATCCCTTTTCTGAAAAGGGAAAAAGCATTGCAATTTTTTCCTTTTAAAATCATTCTTTTCATGCATTGAAATAATGTTACACGCACAGACAACCGTGAAAAGCAAAAAATCAAGCAATGAGACCATTCAAATTAATTTAAACCTGCAACGTTGCCTTTGTTTTCATATATTAAAATTGGTCCAATTACGAATTCAAACACATAAAATTAGTCCAAACATGAAAGCCGGTGTTCGTACGCCAAATACTTTCGCACGATTAAATAGTGGAACCATCCAGTAACCGTACCTTGAAAACAATACACTCATATCCAATTAAGGTGAATACGCATGTGATGCCCTCCACGATTCCACTTTCGTCCATAAATTCACGCGCATCACCGTGTTCCATCAACGCCTTCCCATGCGCTTTGATTATTGGAACATTGTATCGACCTCCTTTACACAATAAGATTGCTCTCGTAGTATCATTAACTTGGTGTTCGATATGATCCCTCCAAAAACTCATCGGAATGGCCTGCAATAGTAAATACAATTAATAAAATATTTCGTTCCATTTCTTGGTTAGAAATTTAAAGTAAAACGTCATACGTACCAAACGTGCTCGTTGCACGTGCGTTTTCTTCATATCCACTAAGAAGCGATATTGGGGAGGTCGTTCAACTGAATTACAAGTGAAAACTTTGACAAGAAATTCATATAGACTGTTGCGCTCGAAATACAAAATGTAGCCCGCGCGAATATCTTCGGCTCGTACGAATTCGGCCCAACGATCACGAAATTCCAATCGATTTCCCACTTTCACCAACCAAACTTTATAGTACGGTTCTCCCTAGTTTCTATTGTACAATTTATCGTGACGTGGTTTGTATACTGATGGTAGATTGACTCGGGCAGCCGCTGTATGCAAACCATATGCATTTTGTTCGATGGGGCGATATGTATTATAACAATTGTAAATGAAACTTAGGAAAGAGGTTTGTATTCATACCAAGTTCGGACTGTTTGTATCCGTAATTGTAACAACGAATGGATCAAACCTATTTGCCATCGAATGGTGTCTAAAACAAAAATGAGTGTAACAATAACAACCAATCATTATTCATAACACTATTGAAGATAATTATCAATAAGGTTGAAATCTATTTATTAACAACCAATCATTATTCTACCTTATTAACACAATATGAAATGCAATTGGAAAACAAAATTATATAAATCGGATGAATCCTATTTATCTTTTATTAACACGAATATAAAATACCTTCCCTAACTGTTGCCTCTTTTCATTCGCCGTTGAATTTCAAAATGGAGTAGCATTTTAGGGAAAAAAAAATGTAGAAGGTGATGTATGTAATGTTAATTGCCGGTGTTTGAAAAAATTAGCACAAAAAATATAATTATAACAACTAACATAGAATCAAACCCATTTTATACATCACAGTTCTTCACAATCCAACATCACCGACACTTCATCCACAAATTTTTAACCATAATAACAGTTAAGACAAGGAACAAGAAAAGGATGACAACCTACCTCAATGATGAGCCAAAGCCGCGGTTCCGGCCGGTGCGGGAATACGGGATACGGTGGCTATTCTCCCATGAAAGAATATGTTTGTTGTGTGAGTTGAAAAGAATGACGGGATACGGTGGCTACTTCCCAATTATAAATTTAGACTCTCTCCCCTATAATAAGGAAATACTTTCTAAGTAAGACTTCTGTATCTTATCCAACCACTCACAATGTAATGATTTATCATGTTCATTTCAAATAGACATCACAATTAGTATTCGCCAAACTAATCCACCAACTTCATCAGATTCAACTCGTTTGATAATTCTTTTCTTACCTTCTGTAGGAGTAAAGCAGAAAGTCGCATAAACGCACAAATATTGCACAACACCAGAAGCCTGAAGTACAAGGGATTAGGTCAATTAAGGCCAACAGAGGCAAAAATGGGTGCCTTTCAGGATGCATAGCCACTCCATGCCCACCTAACCATGATCAAACTCTATGTAAAGATTATACGGAATCATTTAACTTGAGTTGCAATTTTGTTTTTAAATGCTACAAGAAAAAAAATATATATAAAAAACCAAGGGAAGATATTAATTTCCATTCACCATTATAATTTTCATGAAGTTAATTTTCACGTCTAATCTACAAACATCTCATATCAACCATATTGATATATATCATTGTACTAAAGGTCGGGCTAGGCAGGACTCTGGGGCCCCAATTTCGTCTATGCTTCCCTTCTAGGCGCTCGGATAATTAGGCGACGCCTAGGCGGTCTAGATGCTCCCGAAAAATTGTATATATACATAATTTGATTTGTATACATTAATTTACAATAATTACAAAAGAAAATAATAATTATGTAAAATTATTACAGTATTATAAGTACATAATATTTTTTTCTTAAAAAAAAATGTGTAACAATACAAATTAGTATATTTTTAAAATATATTTGGTAAGTTAGGTGCTTGAGGCGCTAAGCTTCAGCAAGCCGCCTAACGAGTACCTAGCTATTTTTCGAACTTTGGAATAATATACTTACCTCATGTGCTAGAAATGCAACCAATTCCTCTTCCGTACAGCTATTCAGTAGGGATTACGCGCCGACCTCGGATGTACTCCTAAAATAACGACCTCACAGAAGATGCCGAAGGCACCCCCTCCGAGCTCGGGGGCCTGTATGTTGACATCCGAGTTCGCCCCCGAAATAAACCGGACAAGGCAGCTTCGAGAGCCGAGCCGGAGACCCGGTCGAGTGCAAAGGTGCCGAGCTTAACTCCAAAATTGATTGACCCCGACACCCCAGTGGGTCCATCCATCAGCCCGGCGTTTGCGACAGCCGAGTACCGGTGCCGGCCTGATGAGTGACGGGCTAGAGGAAGGCTCCCCGGTGCCGAGGGAGCAAAACAGAAGAAGGAGCCGACCTGAGGTCTCAGAACGTGCCCCCAGTGACGGATGCTGGGCTCGATAACAATATAATAATGCCACTTGGAGAGCAATCATGGGTGACTGGACAGGGTGTTCTAGCCTGCAGGCCTACATCTACTAGCCAAGACATAAAGCCTGTCAGCATTAAATGGCCCCCATGAGAGCATTAAATGCCTGTCAGGCAATGATGAGGAAAAACCTCAAATCGCATTAAATTTTGTCAGGGAGGCGCCGGATTGCTCTGCGGGGATACTGTACGACAAGACCGGTGAACAGTACCTGAACAGTGCCACATTTAAAGTCACTATAAATAGCAGCCCACTTCATTTAATTTTGGGTTGTTGAATCTCCAACTCTCAGACTCTCTCTCCACTTTCTCTCTCTAAATTCGTGTAAAGCTCTTGTTCGAATTTTGTAAGGATATCGCAAGTGCCGACCTCGTACGAGAGACCGACCTAGTGATTAATTAATAAAACCATAATTAAATTGCTTTTCTCTGTCTTTTCCTCGTTACCTTTTCTTTTTCTATCTTTTTTAACCGTTGACCGGAAATGCCCGTCAACATTATACGTATGCCAAAATTAATATAAAACTATCCAAAATAAATATTAAAATAGTAAATCTATTTGTATAATGTGTATAATAAACTATTTTGATTACCTATGTTAATTCAGTGCACAACAGTGCTGGAAAAATTGCACATTAACGACTAACATATTGCACCATAGTGAGTGAAGTTTAATTTCGAATTGGTTATCTTTTTTTATACTTTTTAAGTATAAGTTCTTTTCGTTTGTTTCAGCTTTATTTTTAATATAACTTACATATCCGAATGATCAATCTATATAACAAGTATTACTTTTGTTATTCTTATATAAATTTGATATTTCTTTTGAGAAAAATATATATATAAATTATTAAACAAGAATATGAAGAATCCAAATTCTCTCTCCTTCGCTCCGACAAAAACAAAACCCTCGCCGCTCTCCTTCAATTGCTGCCGATTAGCCTTCCCCGGCGACGGCGTGTCGGGCCAGTGGTCACCCTTGACCGCTCGGCCCGCCCCTGAAGTCGCGCCTCTCCGATTTCTCCTCAGTGGTTCGCGAGGAGGGTTCTGCTCTGCCCTAGGTCGTGGGCTTGGTGCGACTGTGGTGGTGCACTCGGTCTGAGGCTGGTGGTTTCGACTCCGGCGGTCTTCGATTGGGATGGCTTGCCACTCGATTTCACCGGGTCAGGTGCTTGGAGGTCCTCCTGGTCGGTTTTGCCGTGTTGGGATGGGTTTTCGAGTTTGGAATTTTGGGCTTGGGCTCGAGTTGCCAGAGGCATGCGGTGGTGTTGGGAGGTGTGAGGGTCGGCGGGCGGGACGAGACTCCGGCAGCTGTGGCGTCCACCGTCGGGGTGCCGGAGTAGCAGAAATGGGCTGCTCTCATCACCTCCGGTTCTCTGGTGTTGGGGACTGGGTGGGTCTGGTGCCTCCGAGCTCGGCTAGTGGTGTTAGACGAGGTCGGGTTGTGCTGGTGTGGGGAGCTGGTCTGGTTCTCTCGGTTGGAGGTGGGTCGTTTTGAGATGGGTTCGGGGCTCGGGCTCGGCTTCTGTATAGGCGTTGTCGCAGTTTCGGTAGCAGTTCCTCGGGCTTGGGATCTTCTTGGGTCGATTGTTTCTCTGCTGGTTTGGGCTCGTTAGTTGGTTGGGGAAGGGCCTTATGTTTCGTATTATAGTTTTTGTTGTCGTCTGCTTGAGTCTGTGTTGGTGTTGTTTTTATCTTGTTTTTTTGGTTTGGGCCATTTGGTCCCTGTGAGCCCGGGTGTAACTTTATTATCCTATTGGGACCGTACACTCGGGCATTACCCTGTTGGGGCCGTTTTTAGTGTTTTTGTGTCCTTTTGTGTGTTCCCGTGTATTACCCTGTTGGGGTCGGGCTCTAGGCGGTCTTTTGACCTGTCCTCCCATTTTATGCAGCTGTTGGCTGGTTGTATTCAGCCGTTGGCTGTTTGTATTCAGTTGGTGGCTGTTCTTTTGCACATTTGTGCGCATTTATATAAAATATCTATCGTTTCAAAAAAAAAAAAGAATCCAAAATATGTTTTTGTAATATAAATTATAATTTATTCCGGTTATTTTGGTAACTAAGTTACCTGACCGAAAAAATCAAGTATTTCAATTCGATGGAACAACATTTTAGTCGATACAACTTTTTCAAAATTTCGACTCTGTTATTCCTGTTTTAACATTTCGGTCTGACAATTCAACCAACTCAACCGATGATAAATATTGTGTATTACGCGGTGCTGTTAGATATGCGGTAAAAGTTTGGCTTTCAGATTCTAGCAATTCCATTTTGATCTGACAATCATATTTTAGTCAAAGTTTTTATGTTTGCAGTTTATTTATTTATGCAACCAAACTTGTTCAAGTTATCAAATACAACCAAGCTTGGAACAACTTTTGTTTGTGAACGTTTGGTTCGTTAAAAGCCTTACGCATGTGGAAAGACAATCATTGGCAAGTTTAAGATCAATATATCGTCACTACCAAATCAAAACAATATGACAAAATGTGATAGAGAAAATCAAAATTATTGTGATCGTCAAATTACATAAAAAAACACAAAAAAAATCATAGTTTTAACACCAGAACCGGTGATTGACCCGGGTTGAACTCCAGGTCACCTGGTCAATTTTATGCTACCATCTACATGGGGGGGAAAAAAAGTTGTTTAATTGAGGATGGGCTAAAAATGGGGCTGCAAGGAATTATTTTCCTTTGTTCGATAAAACTCGGAATCTCGTGACCAGCCTGAACTTGCTTGTATATTTTGAGTGCTCTATTCATCACCGTATCTTGGCTAACCATCTCGACTATTCGCCCTACACAAGGATGAGTTGTGTCCAGGTAATATTTATCATCATCGTAGTGGTATAATTTTTGGAGAACGTGCGGAACAAGTCTTGGATCGTATCCAGCTGCGGCCATCAACATTAGACCAATGTAATGTGCTTCGAGTTCCATCCTGCAAAACAGTGAAACCGATGATTGCTCATCGACGTATATAATATAGTGAACCAGCACTTTTATATTAAGCAATAAAAATGCACCATGTAAATTCCAATGTATTATTGATCTAATAAAATAATATTATGCAATCTTAAAAGTTATGCAAAATTAGACATAGGATTATGAACTACCTGAGACTAATTAAATAGATGAGTGTACAAATCAAGAGTGTATCAATCATTTCTTTTGGCCAACTAAACATAAATAACACTATTTTTTTCGTAGGCAGAAAACTCATCAAATAAGTATGTCTGGATAAAAATATAATAATTATTAATTTCCGAAGTATATGTGAAACATACAACTTTTACTGTTTAGCTATTATCTTATCGACATTCGATTGAAAAAAAAAATATAAATCATTTTGGTTATTTTACTTGGAGTTTCTAGCTTAAGTGCAAGTATTTTTCACTATTTATAAGGGTGTTAAATGATTGAAAGGGTTTGGTCCCTGTACTTCCCAATTATAAATTTAGATTCTCTCCCCTATAATAAGGAAATACTTTCTAAGTAAGACTTCTGTATCTTATCCAACCACTCACAATGTAATGATTTATCATGTTCATTTCAAATAGACATCACAATTAGTATTCGCCAAACTAAGCCACCAACTTCATCAGATTCAACTCGTTCTATAATTCTTTTCTTACCTTCTGCAAGAGTAAAGCAGCAAGTCGCATAAACGCACAAATATTGCACAACACCAGAAGCCTGAAGTACAAGGGATTAGGCCAATTAAGGCCAACAGAAGCAAAAAGGGGTGCCCTTCAGGATGCATAGCCACTCCATGCCCAACCTAACCATGATCAAACTCTATGTAAAGATTATACGAATCATTTAACTTGAGTTGCAATTTTGTTTTTAAATGCTACAAAAAAAAAAAAATAGGAAAAATAAAAACCAAGGGAAGATATTAATTTCCAGTCACCATTATAATTTTCATGAAGTTAATTTTCACGTCTAATCTACAAACATCTCATATCAACCATATTGATATATATCATTGTACTAAAGGTCGGGTAGGCAGGACTCTGGGGCCCCGGTTTCGTCTATGCTTCCCTTCTAGACACTCGGACAATTAGGCGACGCCTAGGCGGTCTAGATGCTCCCGAAAAATTGTATATATACATAATTTGATTTGTATACATTAATTTACAATAATTACAAAAGAAAATAATAATTATGTAAAATTATTACAGTATTATAAGTACATAATATTTTTTTTAAAAAAAAATGTGTAATAATACAAATTAGTATATTTTTAAAATATATTTGGTAAGTTAGGTGCTTGAGTCGCTAAGCTTCAGCAAGCCACCTAACGATTACCTAGCTATTTTTAGAACTTTGGAATAATATACTTACCTCATGTGCTAGAAATGCAACCAATTCCTCTTCCGTACAGCTATTCACTATCTCAGTATGAATAACAATCTTTCCATTACCAACATAGTACATGTTGGGTTCTTCCGACTCAAACACCGTCAAATCCCAATTCAGTCCTTCTAAATGCTCAGTATCACATTTCATATCCCAAAGTTTCCCAAGCGTATCAACACAACCATGGCTTTCCTTCTTTCCATATCTTGGTTCCACAACACTTTCACATCGTCCTGCCAACATTATTATTATTATCATTATTATTATTGTTATTATTATTATTAAAGTTTAGGAAAAATAAAAGTGATACAAGATTGTGAGTGACCCTTAAAACATTAAGATATAATCGCCAATTTCGTAATGTTGACTAACAAAAATTTAACTATAGCTAAAATCTTAAGGCTATCCAGAAGCAGCATCGCATGACAAGTGAAATTAGTCATATTATTCCAAATCATAAAGAAAATCCATGAGACGAGAAGTAAATTAATTATATAAGGCATTTATTTATGTAAATTACCTGTAAGAACTCTTCTTATATCAACAAAATTAACTGTAACTCGTGAATCGCTCTGAAGCCTGAGGCCGTCGCTTAGGGCCTGGACAAGCTTCACGAGCAATCGGCGCATGTGCCTGATTTCAGGATAGTGTGGGTGGGGTCTTCGGACCTCCCTCTTTATTGATCTAGTATATTTTAACGGAAGTCCTATTCTTCGAGGATCAAAGACCAATCGGAGTTTGTTGGAGATGGGGATGTGTTTCAGACAAGACGAAGCAACTAGCAAAACCGTATAAATGTCCGATAAAAAGTACGGTGGGTTTATACGCCACCGGCCGAGCACGAATCCCATCGCGCGCTTCCAAAACTGACCAACGCTTGCTAACACCAACGACATGGCTGATTATTTTTTTTGTTGAAAGGCGCAGGGGTTGAATATAAAAGTGTGAGANAACAATGTGTATATATGTAGTTATATATGCGTGTACAAGGTTGGGTTAAAAAAAAAATACTATTAAATAGAGGCTAATTACAGCCAAATCATGATCAACTAAACTTCAACTTTTCAGCGAAAATATAGAATGCCAATTAATTCCTATCCTAAGTCAAGAAGGTTATCTAGAGAATCATAATCAATTGGATTCCTTAAAGCATCTCCCACGTGGGCGTGAATTGTAATCTTCAACTTAGATTATACATTGAAAATTTTCTTCAATTTTAGTTAATATTTTTGTTATACTAGATACATGTTTTAGCAAATAAAATAATCATTGCATAATAACATCCCATTCAGTTATTAATAAAAGCAATTATTTTATTTTCGATTTTGAACTAATTTACTTATATTAATAATGCTTATTCCTCGTTTCGAGCCCAGTTATTCAGTTATAAGTACGACTTGAAGTCGAAAGTATTCTCGGTTAAAATTTTTCAGAAATCGAGTCAGTTTATTAATTAATTCCGGTCATTTTATTTTAGAAATGGACTTTATAAGTCGGAAATTTATTATTCCAAGTTGTCGAATTAATCGAAGTCAAGAATATTTCGAGATAATTAATTTATTTAGGCATTTTGTCTATTTAAATTAAATTCATGGTTTAACCGAGATATTAGAATTTTTTTAGTAAAGCGACAGTCGGTACAGTAGATATTATTTTTTCGACTTATTAGATTTTTTCCGAGACCAATTTTTGGAGCCTTAAATTATTGAACCATTAAGTTTATTTTTCAGTTCAATTTCTATCAGATATCTCGGGCCAAAAATTTTATCAGCTATCACGTTTAGTATTTGAGCAGAAATTTAAATAGGATAAGATGCCATTACTGCTCCACTATTAATACTTTTGTTTAATTGTAAGGTGAGCTTATTTTTATATTCCCAAATTTCACATTAGCTATTCATAACGGGTGCTAGTGTGCATTATTTTTAGACATCTTGTCTAATATCTATTTGTGCTCATTTTAAAGACAACTCAGTAGCTTATGCATTCGGATTTCTTATAAGAAAAAAATAATCAATATAAATTAAAACTAGTGTGTAGCCCGTGCGATGCACGGGTAAATAATATTAAATAATAATTATAAATTAACGATGATAGTAAACAATATTAACTAATAATTATAAATTAAATACGAGGGTAAACAATATTAACTAATAATTATAAATTAAATATGAAGGTAAACAATATTAACTAAAAATTGTAATTAATTTGTGGAGTTAATATGTGACATAATTTATCGTATATCAGTTGTAAACAATATAAAATTATCTTGTATAAAATAACATAAAAAATGTATGTTTAAAATATTAAAAACACCTAAAATATTATATAACGTATGTGAAGTATCTAAAATTTTATATATCATTACTGAAAGATGTGAAGTCACCCAAAATATTTCTAAAATATTTTATAAATAAAACATGTAGTCCATGTATCTCCTGTTAGTCAGGCCGAGTTATGTTCGCAGACAATTTTGTTCGATTTACAATTCTAGTCACCCCCGCCCCCAAATATTTTTCTAGATACTTCCCTGATTCTAAAATTTTTATTACCTTTTGAAGTGAGATTTTATAAATATAGAGACTGAGATTTTAATGTTCTTCATTATTTCTATGAAAAAAATAAAAATGTACACTTAATAGATCTTAGCTGAAATTTTTAAATAATAAAATGAACTAAATCCCAAAATTTAATGCAACATTTAATGTTGTATGATTTTTTAATAATAAAACTTACTATTTATAGGTTGCATTAAATTCTCTCTTTGCTACTATTTTTGTTAAATGTTAATTCTTATTATATGTATATAGATAAGATTTCTTGTGATCTTTATAGTTTCATTAAATGAAATTTTTATGTCTTTATGATATTTATCCACGCCATCATCTATCACAAGAAAGCATAAAATAGTATTAAGTCTCTTTGCAAGAGCTTTCACGTGGAAGTAGCCATACAACAATATGAAATTTTATAATCCTTAAATAATGAATTGGTTGATGTTGGTCTCCATGTTAATTGTTTTGTCTTTAAAAAGGACGAAACTCTCTTCAGGTGTACAGATATGAGTTCCAAATATTTTATTATAATGATACAAGATGTCTTAACTAATGACCATTTATTATTATCATTATTAATGATACATCATGATATTTTGATTAATTAATGTTAGAATTAATCAAAGACAAGTCATCACCTCAGCCTGATGACATCATGAGCTCAGCAGCTCTTGTCTCGTTGCATGGTAACAAAAGCAACGGCTCTCTCACTCCTATGCACAGTTGGACCATTCACGAGCAGAATGGAGAATATTGGTTGACAGCTTTCTCCAACCGTAGTGATAGCATAGATGATGGACAAATGTCATTGATCTAGGCTCCATCTAGATAATTCTGTAGTAGATTATAAATATCCCAGCATAGGGTTTTGTATTGGTTGATCTCCTTCTTCAGTCTTTGCAATATACAGCCGCCATGGCATTTATGGAGAACATTTTACTTTTTGCGTTTTTCTTGTGATTACTTGCTTTTTATCATGGTATCAGAGAGGGTTTAGAACCTGGCTCTGATCTATCTCTCATAAAAAAAATGTCTGAAACTTCCAGTTTGAGCTCAGGCAGCTCAAATTGACTACAACTCATTTCACCGAGCAATCAGCTAGTCACAGTGAAGCTCGACGATCATAATTTCTTGGTTTGGAAACAGCAGGTCCACATGGCCATACGAGGATACGGTCTTGATGGCTACATCGAATGAACCAGCAAAGCTCCTGAAAAATTCCTACCCACAGTTCTTGTCACTCTCAACCCAAAATTCATCTCTTGGCAGAGACAAGACCACCTCCTTGCTTCATGGATTCTGTCATCACTGAGCAGTAGCATCTTACCCTTGATGGTTGGGCTCAACACCTCAATGGAGATATGGGCAGCTCTGGAAAAGAACTTCAGTAGCCAGTCTCTTGCAAGGATCATGCAATACAAAATAGATATTCAAGCCCTAAAAAAGGGGTCTTTTAACATGAAAGAGTATATCAGCAAGATGAAAGGTTTGTTTGATGCTCTTGCCTCAGCTGGTCATGTTGTCTCTGAAAAAGATCAAATTATGCATCTCATTGGTGGTCTAGGGAAGGAATACAACCCTATCATGGTAACTGTCTCATCCAAAATTGAACCATGGTCAGTAATAGATATTCAAGCTTTACTGTTGAGTTTTGAAGCAAGGCTAGAGTCCTTTACTATGCACAGCTTTCTGGTAAACAGTGATGGCACATCCCCAACTCTCAATGCTGCATTCACACAAAATACCAAAGGCGGCTTTCAATCTGGTTTTCAAAGAGGCAGAGGAAGAGCTCCCTTCAACCAAAATGCTAGAGGAGGAAAACAATGAAGAGGTAGAGGTGGTAGGAGCAGAGTTTCATGTCAAGTATGTGGCATTCCTGGCCACACTACAGAGAGATGTTGGGTATGACAGTGGCTATATGGGGAGCTCTCCTGACAAAGCCACAAAGAGTTTCTCTAACAGCCCTACACTAAACCTTGCTCACACTCCTAGCACAACTTCCTATGACTTCAACTCTGACAAGAACCAGTGGTAACCAGACTCAGGTGCCATAAATCATGTGACCAATGATTTCAGCAACATGAGCATTGCTAGTGACTAGTGAGTATTCAGGAGGAAGTGAGCTGCACATGGGTAATGGTACTGGTGAAATTATCCCTCACGTTGGTAAGACACAACTGAAATCCCTAAATTCTAGTAGAGTCTTTGTTCTTCAAGATCTTTTACATGTTCCTAGTGTCACTAAAAATCTTCTAAGTGTTATCCAGATTTGCCCAAGATGACAATGTGTTTTTTGAATTTCACCCTTCTCATTGTTTTGTGAAAGACCGAGCAACTCAGAAGGTGCTACTCCAAGGGGAGCTTAAACAAGGACTCTACCAGTTTCAACTAGCAAATTCATCTTCTACCAGCCTTTCTCAACACTTCAACCTTCAACACCAGCCTCAGTCACCCTTTTCAGTTAATTTAGTTCAGTCTTTTAATTCTAAGAAAGATGCTTGTTTAGAGTTGTGGCACAAAAGACTTGGTCACTGTAGTTACGACATTGTCAAGAGAGTTCTAAAGTCCTGTAACCAGTCTTTTGATTTGAATATAAATGTCACTTTATGTTCTACTTGTGTTGTTTCAAAAATTCACAGGTTATCTTTTTGTGATTCTGAAACCAAATATACCTTGCCATTTGAACTGATTCACTCAGACCTTTGGGTGCCTTCTCCAATCAAATCTAAAACAGGCCATCTATATTGTCTCAACTTTGTTGACCAATTCACCAAATTCACTTGGGTTTACTTTCTTAAACAAAAATCTGAGGTCTTTGATATTTTCATCCATTTTAAAAACATGGTTGAAACACAGTTTGGTTTCAAAATTAAAAATCTTCAAACTGATTGAGGGGGGAGAATACATATCACTCAGATCATTTCTTCAGTCTAATGGTATCACACATAGAGTTTCATGCCCATATACACCTCAACAAAATGGAACTGCTGAAAGAAAGCATAGGCACATCACTGAGATGGGGTTGTCCTTGTTGAACCAATCATTTCTACCCTTAAACCACTGGGATGATGCCTTTCCTGCCTCTTGCTATCTAATAAACAGACTTCCCACCAAGTCCTTGGCATTCAAGACCCCCTTGGAGATGTTGCACCATCATCCTCCTGAATACAACAGGTTAAAAACTTTTGGTTGTCTTGCTTTTCCTTTGTTGAGGCCCTATAACAAACATAAACTCCAACCAAGATCAGTAGTTGGAACATTCATTGGTTTCAGTAGCTTTCAAAAAGGGTACAAAATTCTATTACCTTCTGGAAAAGTTGTAGTATCAAGACATGTTCTTTTCAATGAAGAAGTGTTTCCTTTTAGTGATGCTGCTAAACAACACTGTCATGATCCTCATAATTCTTTTGACTCACAAAATGTTCACTCACCAACAAAACCTCCTATAACCACACAACAGTTCATTCAACAAGTTCATCCCACTACACAACCTCATGATCACCTATCAACACCTTCTCCTTAAAAGTCAAAGAACACACCTCTTTCATCCTGCAGCCCAAACATTCAGTCTCCTTGAAGTATAGGAAGTCACTCCAGTCACTCTACCATTCCATTAGTTGTTGACTTACCAATTGTGAGAAGTAATTCACCAGAATCCACTCATCACAGCTTAAGAGATTCAGAAAATCAAAACAAACATCATATGGTTACTAGAGGAAAGGCAGGAATATATAAACCTAGAGTCTTGATGGCTAGTATTGAACAAAGAGAACCAACTAGCCTGTATGAAGCTCTAAACTCAACTCAGTAGTATGGGGCAATGGTGAATGAACTGAAAGCCTTGAGAGACAACAAAACCTGGAGTTTAGTCAATCCACCAGCTGGAAGAAACATTGTTGGTTGTTAGTGGGTGTTTAAACTCAAGAGAAATTTAGATGGGACCATATCTAGATATAAAGCTAGATTAGTGGCCAAAGGATTTTCTCAGGCAACAGGATTTGATTTTAAATAAACTTTCAACCTTGTAGTGAAGCATTCAACCATAAGAATCATTCTCACAGTTGCAGTTCATTATTCTTGAAAGATAAGGCAATTGGACATAAACAATGCATTCCTTAGTGGTGAGCTTTCAGAGGAAATCTTCATGATACAACCACCAGGCTTTGAAGAATCTCAGCAAGGAAAAGTTTGCATATTGAATAAGGCCATCTATGGCCTTAAACAAGCCTCAGGAGCTTGGTTCCTTAAAGTCAAAGAGACTTTGAACTGCATGGATTTTATTTGTTCAAAATCTGACAATTCATTGTTCTATAAGAGAACTCAGAATTCCATTATTGTTGTGCTAATATATGTGGATGATATCTTAGTTACAGGGGATAATAACACTGAGATAGAAAAGGTAATCTCACAACTTGCACAAAGCTTTTCTCTCAAAGATCTTGGTGAGCTGCATCAGTTTCTAGGAATGGAGATCCACAGAACCAAAGATGGTCTTTTTCTCTCACAGGAAAGGTATGCTCAAGATCTCCTTTCAAAGATTTCAATGTACAATGCAAAAGGATGCAGAAGTCCAATGTCCACAAGCTGCATTTTATCCAAGAACAAGTCAGATACAAGCATTGATGGTACATTGTTTAGGAGAATAGTTGGAATCCTTCAGTACCTAACTATTTCTAGACCTGAAATAGCTTATGCTGTTAACAAAACTAGTCAGTACATGTCAAATCCTCATGTGGAGCATTGGAAGGCCATCAAAAGGATCTTGAAATACATTTCAGGCAGCATTCATCTTGGTTTAGAAATCACCAAATCAGACAATTTAAATGTGGTTGGTTTTTGTGATTCAGACTGGGCAGCTGATTTGGATGATAGAAGATCCACAAGTGGCTTTTGTGTCTATATAGAAGGAAATTTGGTGTATTGGAGTTCAAGGAAACAAGCTTCAGTTTTCAGATCAAGTGCAGAGGCAGAATATAAAAGTTTGGCACATGACCCACCTCCAACTGACAAGACCGACTCCCCACTCCAACACTACCCGATCTCGCCTAACACCACTAGCCGAGCTCAGAAGCGCCGGACCCACCCAGTCCCCAACACCAAAGAACCGGAGGTGAAGAGAGCTGTCCGGTCCTTCAACTCTGACAATCCCGACGTAGGACGCCGCAACCGCCTGAGTCCCAACCCGCTCGCAGACCCACTCACCACTCAAGGCCACCGCAGCAAACCGCGCGACCATCGACCAAACCCCACCGGACGCCCCACCTGAGAAGCAGAGCAGTCCGAGGGGGACTTCTAAAACAGACGGAACGGTGAGAGATGGGTTTACCTCCGCCAAACAACGAGCCACTGGTGTCCGAACGGGGACCGCCAAACCCCTAAAGTTCGCCGATTAAGGGAGCACCGCCACCAATCGCGCATCCACCGGTGATCGAATGGCAGGCCACACGGAAATTACAACATTTCTGAGTGAGAGTCATCCGGGACGGGCCGAGCGGTCAAAGGCGACCGCTGGCCAGGCCTCTTCGTCGCCAAGGAAGGCGAATCGACGACGAAAGAGGAGTAACCGAAGGTTAGGGTTTCTGAGCAGAGGAATTTGGGCGAGAGAGCAGATGAGTTTTAACTAATTTACAATTAGTTAGTATTAGTAGTAATTATTACATATAATTAGTTTAAATTATTATTACACTTTATTTATGTNAAAAAAAAAAAGAGCGGGAAACATATAGAGGTTTTATTTATTGTTCTACCAGCAATTATATATACTAGTGTTTGATCCGGTGTACACAAATGTATAAATAATTATAATTTATATGTATGTATATAATATTAAATTATAGTTGGATAATATGTAGTAGCACATTTTAAAATTTTGTCATTTATTCAACGTCATCACTATATTTGTTGCATAAAATGAAATGGATAATATAGTTTTATAAATTTTAGAGTTCATGACCTATTAATTATCTTAAAAAGCATTATTGTTATTATTATTATTATTATTATTATTATTATTATTATTATTATTATTTGAGCATAGGAATATGTAACAAGTTTGCATGCAACAATGACTCCAAAGTTTGAATTTGAAATATTATCTTCAAGGGATGCATTTTACCCATAATCACTAAGGGGGTGATTTAATATGAATTCAACTAGTAAAAAATTGATTATTTTTTAACTATATAAATTTAAAAAAAGTGACATGATTTGTTGTTAGTGATATATTAAAATAATATTTAAAATAAAATATTTAAAGTTGATTTGATGTAAAAGTAAAATGATTAGAAGTGATAGTTAGTTAAAATTATGTAAGTAGATGAATAGTGAATTAAAGTTGATGTGATGTGTAAGAATAATTGGTTGATATTTTTTAATTACATTAATAATATTGGAAGTTAAATTTGAGTTAAATTTGAGTTTTGATTAGTTTTTTTACTGTACAATTTGTATACAATGGCCCCCTAACTGAATCATCAATCACATC